TTTGAAATATAACAAATTTCAATCAAATCCAATTCCAAATTAAAAAGCATAGATGATTATAATTTGTTTGACAAGAAAAAAAGAGCAACACATTTGGCGTGATTTGAGATCTAAAATTTGGGTTGTATGTTGAATGATTTAATTGTAAATATTTATTTATTTTTAAATGTTAATTACTGTTGTATTTATTTTAAGAAGTTTTATTATTTTTAGAATTTTAGATTTAGAACTTTGGATTAATTTGTAACTAGTCTATAAGAGGGTGTTTAAGACCCTTATTTTAGGAGTTGAATTTTATTATTTTGATAATTATAATTGAGAATCAGAGGATTATTTTTTTGTGAAATCCTTACTTTTTGTTTAAGAGAAAGGTTATACTTACAACCTTTTATTTTTACAACCTCTTACAACCATATATCATAACCGTTGATTTTCGTCAATCAACGGTTATCATTTATTATGAATTAATAATTAATTAATGAATTTAATTTGCAAAAATCATAACCGTTGATTGGCGGAAATCAACGGTTATGATATATGGTTGTAAGAGGTTGTAAAAAAAAAGGTTGTAACTATAACATATCCTTTTGTTTAACTACTTTTCTATGCGCTTTCGGCATCAACATCTTCATTCCTTCCCACCATCATCACAGATTAAGAATAACTTTTTACATTCATGGCCTATAGCATAGTGGAATTTTCTTTCCTCCATCTTCATTCCTTCTCATTGTAGTGGAAATTCGGTCCTTTTTGCCTTTGACTTTCTTCGAACACTGGGGTATCATAATTTGGATTCAAGTAAAAATGGTTCATAAGATAGCATAATAAAAAGTGAAAAGACAATAATTTAGGTTTTTGAATGGAACTAAAACATTTAGTCGAATTTAGAGTTGGGTGTTGTATTTCTCCTTTGTCTTCTAGTTTTTCCATTTTTTCCACCCATAAAAATAAGCTTTATTGAGGAAGCTTGTAACATCCCCGTCTCGAGCCGGTTCAATTAACATGCATATGATATAAACAGAAACAACGGAATACTTAACTTATGAAAATACGAGTTAACTTTTTCTTTTTCTTTTTAAATTCTCATTCGACGTAAACGAAAATCGGACAGAGTTTCCTCTATAAATCGGACAACTGGGGATTTTCCAATCCCACTCAGAAGCATTTCCAGATAAACAGTTTATACAACACATCAATCCAGAAGTACCAGTCATGCAAATATAATCAGATACCCATCCATGGGCGCATGCATAACTTGGCTCCGTGCCACTATATCTAACAGCATGCAATCCAAAACGTAAACATATCTGAATACTACATCATCATATAACGTGCCTGAATACTCAAATGTACATGCATCAAACTGACATGCATGTACAAAACATATACAGGCCATATACAAAATAAAGGATCTAACATCATGATCCACAAAATACTGAAATACATAAATGCACTCCAAAATAGAAGTAGCCTACAGCTACTCAAAATCCAATCCGTCCAAATCCTCAGCCACGGGTCGTGTCCCTGACTAGAGAGGTCTCACCGGGAATCTGGGCACCTGAAAATATGGCCCCAACGAGGGGTGAGATTACAAATCTCAATAAGCTCCAGGTTTATAGAGAATTCTCCATACCCCTGGCTCACTCCTTCATGAAAGTCAGATACAGAGTATACGAATACAACATATAACAGATATCATAACAGAACATAGCATATATCCATATCATATCAGAGATGTGCGCCGTCATTCCCAAGGATGATCCCAAGCGGAAATCAACGCACGTGTTCCCGAGGGAGGACCCCAAAGTGGAACCAGACATATCATAGGCGTACACCATTAGTCCCTAGGGAGGACCCCAAAGCGGACATCAGAGTACTATACAATCAATGGCCAGAGATTATTACATAAATCATCTTACAAAAGTCATATCAGAACAAAACATATCATGTTATCAAATAGCTCTATATGAATGCATCTATACAAAGCATCAAAACAGTCATACAATCCAACCACAGTTCACTAACTATGGTGGAGCAGTCAAGTAGGAAAAGACTCCTTAAACATAGAGCTTACCTCTTGAAGCTTTACCAATACGCTTACTTGTAGCACAAGTTACTTATATATCTTCAAGAGATTCCGATCCTTTTCAGTCCCTAGGCACACCTAGAGAAGAATCCATAATAATATCAATAAAATGCTCTAATGCCATGTTCTTACATAAGGCATACATTTTATCGCTTATTTTCACTTCTTCACGTTTTTGCCAATTTTATGCCAATACACAAGTCTAGACCACTTTGTACTCGTTAGCATTCTTTAATTTTAATCAAGTGTTCACTTGAGAATTTTCAACATCATTCATGCCATTTTCTTTAAGAGACCGGGGGCCTACACTTAGGAAATCAAGATATTTTCCCATGCTTTCTTTTCAACCCACTTCACTTCATAATCTTATTAATTTCATGTATTGTAACTCAACATTTTAACAAAATAAAACATAATCTAATCATCCTTAATTTACCCTATAAGGCCGAAATCCCTAAAAGAGAAGCCAAGGGTTTCTTTCTTTTACATTTCATTTCTTCACTTAGTTTAATAACTCCACATACGTAAATGTATCTCTACCAAGTTCCAATTTAATTTTTTTGGAATCTCAAGCCCTCTAAATACCCTTAAGGCCGAAGCATCAAGAGCCTATATCATAGGATTTTCTTTCTAATTTAACATTCTTACTAACTCATAATTTTTCCACTTGTTACAACACCTCACACCTTCCAAATACCCAATTTAAATTTTGTACACCAACCCCTCATTACACTAGAAATGCCGAAACCTAGGGAGATACAACCCAAGGGAATTTTTTTTCATTTAACATATGTACAAATGCTTATTTCATATGCTTATATTCTAGACATCAAAAATCCATCATCAACTTTCTTTTTAAACTAATTTATTTCACACCAACACATGCTCACAATTTCTATGACACAAACCATCAAAATAACATCATGGAAACAAAGGTTTCTTACCACTAATCAACTTCCCAAAGCCTAGTAAGCATCCACAAAGCAAAACTCCACCAAAAATGTCATTTCTCCTCCTTGATGAATAGTGTCACGAAAATGGGGGGAGGAAGAACCCCTCACACACTCAACTATAGCTCAAATTGATCGGTGAAATGGATTCATTGAGTGGTTTCTAATCGATTTCATGTGGTGGGTCATTGAATTTGGAGGATGGATGATGTAGAAATCAAAGAAAGAAAAACCAAACCCTAAGCCCCCCCTTGTCAAGTGCAGCTCGGCCTTGAGGGAAGAAGAAGAGAGAGAAACTGATTTGGATAATGAGACTTAAGTGACTTATAAGGTTAGCACATGTGGCCTTTTTTAACAGATATTTTTCTTTCGTGTATTTTCACTTAAACTGACCCGTAACTAACTCAAAGCTACGGACATATTTTTATTTTTCTAAAATCATATACATTAATTTTTATTTGTCACAAAAAAATATTCATAATTCACAGTATGGTTTCTGCACCGTTTTTTGACGAAATGCACTGTGAATCACTAACTGTACTTCGCTCACTTCTGAACTTAAAACTTATAAACTTATTATTTTCTTGGGCCTATATTGACTTGCTTGGCACATATTGGACTTTCTTATTCTTATTTCATCAATTATTTGTTTCTGGACTCTACCGGTTGCTTAAACAGCAGTACAAAATACCCGGTAGAAATACTATTCACGAGATTTTCACGGAAAGTGCCAGACTATACAATTTTTCGTTCTGAACTCATATCTGTCATCAGAATTGTCAAATTATGTCTCTAAAATCATTTTACTTATTTAAGCTCTACCGATTAATTCACAAGACTGCAAATTCTACGACAGAACACACTGTTCATAACATAGTCATGATTATAGTCAAAATACTCGAAATCACTTACTGAATCTAATTATGGCATTTAAATCCTTAAATTAAATCTCTAATTAAGATTTACTATTTAGGGTCATTATAAAGCTCTACCTAAAGCATACAAGTGCACCTAAATAATTATTCTTTTTTCTCATTTCATTCCATAGAACAATAGTTTAAATAGACAAAGAGTAAGAGAGATCAACAAAAAGCCATGATTTCTCAAACCACTTGCTACTAATAATCAAAATACCTATGCCATATCCCACTACTTACATAATTACCTTATATTAGACTAAGTCAAATTATAAAAATAAAAAACAATAATTAATTCATATCAGAAACATACCCATCAACAAGTTTCGTTTTAAGAGCCTTAATGGGAATTGAACTGCGCCTGCCAAATTTTGTTTGGTATGGCCAAAATCGAAAGTTATTCATCAGGAACACTACGTTTGATATAGTTTCAATTGTGATAACAATCAAATTAAATCCACCTTTTGGCATAAAGTCTCAAAATGTCACACCTAAAAAATTATTTCTCATTCAAACTATATTTAAAATCCTGTTAGTGAATCCTGCTAAATACGTTTTGCCAGAGATAACATAAGGAAGTGAGTCTCATTGGTTGAGCTGCACCACACTCAAAAAATTACAGTGTTTTGTCACATGGTAGAACATGTTCCGCCGGCACCAGAATTCAACCATGACATTTAAAAAAATATTTTGAAGGTCGTGAGATATTGGTATTCCCCCCCCCCCAAATCATATCAAATAGTTTGCGGTATCGAAATGATTGCACTAAAATTTAACTATTACGACTACTTGCCTTATTTTTTAAGCCACCTGACTTTGCTTGCCAATTTTAAAAACAAAATATTAGTCATTTGATGTATGACTGTACTATATTACTACTTTAAAGAAATATAATGAGTTTCTAGTTTTTGTCTATTTCGAAATCATGAGATTACCAATGCCAAATAACAGATGATGAAAGCTTTAAAATCTGTATATTAGAGTGGCAAACAGAGTTTCATCTATAAACTAGAAGTGCAAGGCCTTGATCTAAGTTCTGTTTCCACCATGGATATTCAAATCCTCTACTTTACATCCATTTTCTCCTTTTTCATTCTTATGCTTATGGCACACAAAATAGTGACCAAGAAATCTAACTCAACTCCAAATTTACGACCAGGACCATGGAAGCTACCTATCATAGGGAACATACACAACCTTGTTAGCTCACTTCCTCCCCATCGTCAGCTAAGAGATTTGTCAGCAAAATATGGACCCTTGGTGCATTTGAAGCTTGGAGAGGTTTCTACCATTGTGGTCTCATCCCTAGATTACGCAAGGGAGGTGTTAAAAACTCATGATCTTATCTTTGCATCAAGGCCTCCTATCCTAGCTTCAAAGATAATGAGTTATGATTCTAAGGGTATAACCTTTGCCCCTTATGGTGATTATTGGAGACAGTTAAGGAAGATTTGTGCATTGGAGCTATTAAGCTCAAAACGTGTCCAATCTTTCCAACCAGTAAGAGAGGAAGAGTTCACTAACCTCATCAAATGGATTACTTCAAAAGAAGGATCACCCATCAATCTCACCAAAGAAGTGATTTCAACAATATCTACAATCACTTCAAGGACAGCCCTTGGAAAGAAGTGCAAGGACCATCAACAATTCATATCAGTGATAAAGGAAGTCATAGATTTTGCTGGAGGTTTTCACTTGGAAGATTTATACCCTTCAGCTAAATGGCTTGAGCACATCTCTGGGTTGAAGCCTAAGCTAGAGAAGTTGAAGCAAAAATCTGATAAGATATTGCAAAACATCATCAATGAGCATAGAGAGGGTAAGTTAAGGAGTGCTCAAGGCCAGGATGAAGATGCAAGGGAAGATCTTGTAGACGTGCTGCTGAAGCAGGAGTTTTGCTTAAGTGATGATAGTATCAAGGCTGTGATCTTGGTAAGCAAATTCACAACTTCCCCCAATGTTATATGCACAGCAAAAAAAAAAGACTTTTTATGTATTGTTTTTTTTTAGAAAGACTTTTTATTTTAAGTTAAAACTGGTTTGCATTTGGATAATTAAGAAAATTATTTGAATGTCAAAATTAAAATATAAATAAATAAATATATATATATATATGGGGCAGATTATATTTACAAACTTTTTTACTTACAAACTCTTACAAACTACACTAAGTACGACCGGTCATACTTTAATCATACAGTGTACGACCGGTTATACTTAGTGTAATTTGCAAAAACAAATTTGTAAACGGATCCTATCCCTATATATATATATATATATATATATATATATATATATATATATATATATATATATATATATATTAAAAAAGATATGTGAAAGAAAATTATGAAAACAAGGAAGATAAGGAGGAGGAGATAGTAGTAAGGTGGCAGTGGTAATGGCAGAGAAGATGATAGTGGTGGAAGAGACGATGACGTTGTGATGGTGATGGGGTTGATTGAGGTTGAGATTGATGCAAATTTATATTTGAGAAAAATATTTTGTTTTCAGGTTCTATTTATTTGGAAAGTAAAAAATTTTAGCTTAGAAAAAGTAATATTTTTATTTTTTTTTTAAAAACTGACAACTAAACACTTGCTTAGTGTGAAGGGTACTTTCTAATCAAAAATTTAAAATAAAAAACATATCCAAATGGGCCAAGAAGTTGGTTTTCACAAAGCAAAAGTGTAGAAATTTCGGCGCTTTTATCGTAAGCAAATAAAATCTGTACTAATTTATGGACTCAATTTCCTCTTTCTCATGGTACTTCCTCTTACGAATGTCAAAAATTAGAAAATTTCTTTTTATGTAATTACTGCTATTACCTCCCTAGTTGTTACTGTTCATACCAATATAATTGCTTCTTTCCTTGTCTTGCTTTTGTAGTAAGTATTCATTTCACTTGAAATGTATAAAACATTGCATCAGGGTGTTTTTGACAATCTAGTCTTTGTTATATTGATCACTAGCTACCCAATACTCTTCTAACTATTTGCATGTCTTTGAATCAATTTAATATGATATCATGATTTTCAAGGATATATTTGGAGCTGGAAGTGAAACATCAGCTACAACAATAACATGGGCAATGGCAGAAATGATTAAAAATCCAAGAGTAATGAAGAAGGTACAAGATGAGGTAAGAGAGGTATTTGAAGAAGAAGGAAATCCCAATGAAAGTGCCATTGAGAAACTAAAATATTTGAAATCAGTTGTGAAAGAGACATTAAGATTACACCCTCCTGTTGCTCTTTCACTTCCAAGAGAATGTGGACAAGCTTGTGAGATTAAGGGGTATCATATACCGGTGAAAAGCAAGGTCATCGTGAATGCTTGGGCAATTGGAAGAGATCCAAATCTTTGGAATGAGGCTGAGAGGTTTTATCCTGAAAGGTTCATTGAAAGTTCTTGTGACTACAAAGGCAATAATTTTGAATTCATCCCATTTGGTGCTGGGAGAAGAATATGCCCTGGCCTCACATTTGGGTTGATCAACGTTGAGTTTCCACTTGCGTTGTTGATGTATCATTTTGATTGGAAACTGCCCAATGGAATGAAAAACGAAGATTTGGACATGACTGAGACTTTTGGAATAACTGTTGGCCGAAAAGATGATTTGTACCTGATTCCCATTACTTCTCATTGTTAGCCTAATTTAGGTGTTAGCGATGGTGGAACCAGAATAATCCTTGTACACAGTATTATCCATTCATAATTATAAAGAAACTATTTCTCAGATTCTAACACATAACATTTTAGTCACGGAAAAATAACTTTATCACCATTCAAGGCTCGTCGTCTTCTCTACAATATATAATACTAAAAAAATAATAATGTTGAGAAGAAAGAAATTGTCAATTGTAATTAGGGTTTGTTCAATTTTTTTATTTATCTGCAATGTTGATAGGAGGGTAATTTATCTTACAATCGAGTGAAGAAAAACTATTAATACTATGGAGTGATAGATTATTAATTATCCTTGGGTGGAGAAAAAATTCTATAAAAGAGCTAAATTGCAATTATATTCTTGTTTATGTTATAATAAAAATAATGTTGATAACTGAAGACTTGTATGAGCTGGACGATCACTGTATAACTGAATATATACAAGCACAAACAGATCTGTATATTCAATTTTAATTCAGTGCAACATGTCCCTATATGCTCTTATATCTATATGATGATATGTATACAGATGTATATACAGTACTGACTTGTGTACCTTTAGCCTGTTACACACCATACTTGAAATATTTACCAAGCATGACAAATTGAAAAGACTTATTTATATCAGAAACAGTGTGTGTAAGAGGGAAGGAAACAGACCAACACAATTCAATTATTTATTTAAAACAGTATTCGCTAATTTTGCAATTAAATCCGAATAAAGAACCAAAAAATAGTTCCATAGCAGAAACAATATGACAACTAGTGTAACATCCCCGTCTCGAGCCGGTTCAATTAACATACATATGATAAAACAGAAAACAGCGGAAGACTTAACTTATGAAAATATGATCTAACTTTTTCTTTTTCTTTTTAAATTCTCATTCGTCGTAAACGAAAATCGGATAGAGTTTCCTCTATAAATCGGACAACTGGGAATTTTCCAATCCCACTCAGAAGCATTTCCTGATAAACAGTTTATACAAATATAATCAAATGCCCATCCATGGGCGCATGCATAACTTGTCTCAGTGCCACTATATCTAATAGCATGCAATCCAACACGTAAACATATCTGAATACTACATCATCATATAACGTGCCTGAATACTCAAATGTACATGCATCAAACTGACAGACATGTACAAAAGATATACAGGCCATATACAAAATAAAGGATCAATGTCATGATCCATCAAAGGTGGAAATACAAAATGACATGAATATACTTCCAAAAAGTAGTCGCCTACAGCCACTCAAAATCTGATCCGTCAACTGCCTCAGCCACGTGTCGCGTCCCTGCCTAGTGAGGACTCACCGGGAATCTGGGCACCTGAATATATGTCCCCAACAAGGGGTGAGATTACAAATCTCAATAAGCTCCAGGTTTATAGAGAATTCTTCATACCCCTGGCTTACTCCTGCACGAAAGTCAGATGCAGAGTATACGGATACAACATATAACAGATATCATAACATAACAGAGCATTTATCCATATCATATCAGAGGTGTGCGCCGTCATTCCCAAGGGAGGACCCCAAGCGGAAATCAACGCACGTGTTCCCGAGGGAGGACCCCAAAGCGGAACCAGACATATCAGAGGCGTACACCATCAGTCCCGAGGGAGGACCCCAAAGCGGACATCCGGGTACTATACAATCAATGGCCAGAGATTGTTACAGAAATCATATTACAGAAGTCATATCAGAGCAAAACATATCATGTTATCAAATAACTCTATATGAATGCATCTATAAAAGCATCTAAATAACAGTAATACAGTCCAACCATAGTTCACTAACCATGGTGGAGCACTCAAGCAGGAAAAGACTCCTTAAACATAGAGCTTACCTCTTGAAGCTTTACCAATACACTTACTTGTTGCACAAGTTACTTATATGTCTTCAAGAGATTCCGATCCTTTTTCGTCCCTAGGTACACCTACAGAAAGAATCCACAAATACAAATCAATAAAATGCTATCGTGCCTAGACTTTCCATAAGGCATACATTTTATCGCTTATCTTCCTTTCTTTATACTTTTGCCAATGTTATGCCAATACACAAGTCTAGACCGTCTTATACTCGTTAGCATTCTTTAATTTTAATCAAGTATTCGCTTGAGAATTTTCAACATCATTCATGCCATTTTACTTCAAAAGCCGCAGACATAACCTTAGGAAATCAAAGTATTTTTCAACCATTTTTCAAGTCATTTCACTTATTAACTCATCAATTTTATACAATGAATTACCACACATTTTATTTACAATAAAATGTAACAAAATATACCCCTATACCACCCTCTAGGTCGAACACTACAAGGACATAGACAAAGGTTCTTTTTCTTCACTTACATGTAACTTACACATACAAATACATGTTTTCATAAGGTTCTAACTTAATTTTTGGAGCATAAAGTCCCTCCAAAGCCCCACAAGGCCTAAACCTAAGGGCATATTTCATATAATTTTTCCCACTTTGGCATTCTCACTAATTTATCAAATTTCCACTTAATTCCTACACATTAAACCTTCCTAATACTTAAGATAAAATTTTTGCACAACAACCTACTCTTCACCTATGATGGCCGAACATATAGAGGAAAGCATAGGAATTTTTTCTAATTTTTTTACATACATACAAATGCTTATTTTCATTTCTTAAATCCAAGATATCAAAGATTCATCATTAAATCAAAGTTTAATACACAATGCTTTCCTACCAAAACATACTCATAACTTTTATAACTAAAATCATCAAAATAATACCATGGAAATAGAGGTTCATTACCTCCAAAAGCTTATACAAGGTCTAGAAGGTGACCAACAAGCAAGACTCCACCAAAACCCCCCTTTTTCACCTTGGATGAATAATAATCCGAAAATGGAGTGATGAATATCTCCCCCCACAAACGAAATCAGCTCAAATGGAGGGGTGGAATAGCTTCCTTGGATGATTTCCTATAAGATTGGTATATTGGGTGAAAGATTTGGTGGAATATTGGAAGAGAAATCAAAGAAGCAAAAACCAAAACCCTCACCCCCCCTTTCATAGCTGCTGATCGGCCCCAAGGAGAGAGAAAAGAGTGTTTTTCTTTGAGTGAATAGTGATCACATAAGTCACTTATGTTTTATAGTACATGTGGCTTTTACCTGGGTATTTTTCTTTCGGTATTTTCACTTAAACTAACCCGGAACTATCTCAAGGCTACAAATATATTTTTTATATTTTCTAATATCATTTACATTAATTTTTATTTCCTAAGGAACAATATTCATAATTCACAGTATGGTTTTTGCACCGTTTTTGACGAAATGCACTGTGAATCACTAATTGTACTTCATTTACTTATGAAACTTAAAACTTATAAACTTATCATTTTCTTGGGCCTATATTGACCTGCTTGGCATATATTGGACTTTCTTATTCTTATTTCATCAATTATTTATTTCTGGACTCTACCGGTTGCTTAAACAGCAGTACAAAATACCCGGTAGAAACACTATTCACGAGATTTTCACGGAAAGTGTCAAACTATACAATTTTTCGTTCTGAACTCATATTTGTCGTCAGAATTATCAAATTATGTCTCTAAAATTATTTTGCTCTTTTAAGCTCTACCGGTTAATTCACAAACTGTAAATTCTCCGGCAGAACGCACTGTTCATAACATAGTCATGATTATAGTCAAAATACTCGGAATCACTCACTGAATCTAATTATGGCATTTAAATCCTTAATTAAATGTCTAATTAAGATTTACCATTTAGGTTCATTATATTCACCCCACCTTTTAAGGATTTTGCCCACAAAATCAAATACGAAATATCACACATACCTGACGTCAAACTTAGGGTACTGCTGGAGAATTTCATTCTCCCGCTCTCGAGTAGCGTCTTCAGGAGTCAATCCTTCCCATTGCACCTTGATCATGGGAATAGTCCTGTTTCTCAACATTTTTTCATCACGAGCTAGAACCTTCAACGGTCCTACAACAAATTTCAAGTCTTTCCTTACCTCAATATCGTCCCGCTGAACAATGTGGGACGCATCAGGTACATATTTGCGAAGCTGACTGATGTGAAAAACACTATGCAGATTTGACAGATGTGGAGGTAAGGCCAGCTGGTATGCCACAGGTCCGACCCTCCTTATAATCTAGTAGGGCCGAATGAACCTAGGACTCAACTTCCTTACTCCCAGAGCACGCCCAACACCCGTAGTCGAAGACAAACGGATAAATACATGATCCCCTTCTGAAAATTCTAAGGGTCGATGCTTTGCATCATAATAACTCTTTTGGTGACTCTGTGCTTTCTTCAATCGATCCTTAATCATCATAATTTGATCGGTAGTCTCTTGGACCAAATCAGGCCCAAATAACTGCCTCTCACCAATTTCTGACCAACAAGTAGGCACCCTGCACCTACGGCCATACAAAGCTTCATAGGGAGCCATGCCTAAACTGGCATGATAACTATTATTGTAGGAAAATTCCACCAGAGGAAGATATTTATCCCATGAATTTCCCTGCTCTAAGGCACAAGCCCTCAACATGTCCTCCAGGGTCTGAATAGTCCTCTCAGTCTGACCATCAGTCTGGGGATGATAAGCCGTACTCAGCCTCAGCTGCGTACCAAATGCCTGTTGCACTGCATCCCAAAGTCGAGAAGTAAATTTAGGGTCCCGATCACTAATGATACTTTCAGGAACACCATGCAGTTTCACTATCTCCCTTACATATAACCGAGCCAGCTGCTCTATAGAGAAACTCGTTTTGACTGGTATGAAATGTGCAGACTTTGTCAATCTGTCAACAACTACCCAGATAGAATCAAAACCAGCCTGAGTTCTCGGTAATACCACCACAAAATCCATAGAAATACTGACCCATTTCCATTCTGGGATATCCAAGGGCTGCAATAATCCAGAAGGTCTCTGCTGATGACATGTCAAACACTTACTCACAAATAGAGCAAT